AATTATTTAAAAATAAGATTAACGCACTCTGTTACATGCATTCATTGGGAGAGACCTACAAATCAAGAAGCAGTGAAATGGATAACAGCAAAATAATTCATTGGTTGATTGAACATTTTTCTATTTTAAGAAAATTCTACTCCATAAGATTCCATTTGTTTCTCCATTTTAGAGAACCAAATAATAAAATCAATATTTCATTTACGAGGACAATTTCAGGCCACAGAAAAAGGACAAATACCAATTATTAAGGGACTTAGCTTGTAGCAGTGAGGCATTCAGTTTTCTCCATTTTATTATTTTAAAAATTAAAAAATATTTGTATTCGTTTTAAATACACTTAGACACAGGTATTAAAATAGTTGAGTCCTTATGAACATGATGAACGTTGCTCCCATCACGAACCCGATGAATGTTTGAGGTAGAGTAAGAGGCGTCACCGTCAACAAAAGTGAAATGGAGTAGAACCTGATAGTAAAGTTTGCGGCTTCGTCTTCAATCTCTCGGGAATCATACACACAAAGTTTGGAAGAAACGGGACTTCGGACAAATAAGTCATTTTATTCATTTTAAAATTATTTAACTAAGTCTTAAATATATTTTTATTTTGTTTCCTACTTTCTTATAAAGTGTTTTTTTTTAATTTACTGTTAATTTAACCTATTAAAATACTGTTAAACATTAATTTTTAATTGAGTCACACGAGTTAAAATAACTAAAAATAATACTCAAAATAAAAAATTCATTTGGAGGAATTTAAATAAAAAATACTAAAATGTTAAAACATGTTTTTAACTAATGACATGGTAATATTTAACTAAATAAAATGTAAATAGTTAGATCTTTATATTTTTTATGTTTCGAATCTTAGATCAACGAAAGCTAACACTAATTGAAAACTAAAGTTATTAAGAATATATCTTTTAACCAACTTTAAAATGCGAGTTTGGATATTGAAAGAAGTAGGGATGTGTACTATTTGTATTACCGACAAAAATCGCCAAAATAAAAAAAAAGTCATCATTGATAAATTTTAACTTTTACAATTTTTTAAAAAAATTACCATTGTTAATTTTGAAAATGTATGACTTTCCATTGTTATGTAAGTATTTATATTAAAAATTGTTATTGATGATTTTTTAATATTATATTTCTGTGACATTTTCAAAAATACTATATTTTGATACGTATAATTTTGCTATTGACTTCGCTGCAGACATAAGATGTAGGAATGAACCCTCCAAAGCTAGCACCGAGGATGAGGATTTTCAATTCCACAATGAGATCAACTAATGCAAATGACACAGATTTTGGGGGGCTTTTTAATTTTGAGGTGTTGCCATGGCATTGATTGTGGCAAAGGTGTACTTGGGATGATTTGGTAGTTTTAGAGGCAATTTTGATGATAAACCCTAAATTCTTAAGCCAACATAATTTACCAATTTTTTTTTTATCTAACCAATTTGTAACTTGAAAAGCAGTTCAACATGCTTGTAAAAATTGATCTCCAATACTAAAAAGAAATGACTTGTTAAAAAATAATGTTATACATATAACTTTTTATATATAAAATAGCAAGTGATCTAAAATCAAATATATAAATAAAGTCCAACAACTAAAATATTACTGTAACAAACTCAAGTTCATCGTAATTAAGTTATAAACATTGTGGTGAATTTTAGATAAACCTTAGCATGAGTTGTTACACACTCTTAGATGGTTTAACTAATATATAATTAAATCATAATATCACATTTATATACATCTAACCTTAAATTCTAAATCATAAATTATAACTTTATTAGCTCGTTATATAATATCGTATAAGAAGAGGACACATACTTATTCTAACGAACACACTTATAAGTGTGCAAAATGACAAAATGCATAAACATTCCATAGTTACTAAATAAATTTTTGTAACTCATACACGCATTCTATCATATTCTATTATAAATTTAATAAATTTTTTCTTGAATGTTAAAATATTTTTTGCAAAAACACTTATTATTAAAACTCATTTACAATAAAAAATCATTGTCAATCACTATTTAAAGAACATCAATGTCGAATTTTTTTTATCTCTAATATAAAAAAAGGGTTAAAATTTAATTTTCATATACAATTAATATAAAAAGCTTCTACATTACCAATTAATTTAAACATATCACAAATATAATTTTTATATTAATTGTTAAAAAAATTAATAATTTTTATTTATATAAAAATTTATAATTAAATATGTTTAAATCAATGTCATAAAGTTATACATAATAACCAAATTATGTGCCCTTAAAAGGCCCGTTGAGAGAGAAAGATCCCTTATACGTTTTATGGACTTCTTATTTGTAATAAAAAGGACTCGATCGTATTAAATGTAAAAGTGCCTAATGTCATTTCAACACTTCGTTTAGACGAAGAATGAAACGGACAAAAGAAATGACAGAAATATATAAAAACAATTATTCATATGGATAAGAATTTTTTTTATTTGTGTAAATGAAAAGAATTATATAAAATAATTTTATAATAATAATATATTTAAATTAAATACGTTTTTACTATAATACTTTTATCAATAAAGTATTTTTTATATTATATAAAATGTTGATTAATATAAAAAACACCACCCTAGCTCCCACTCTCATCCTAGCCCTCGCTTTCTCTTCGTTTATCTTTATTTTTGGGAGAAAAACAAAAATTAATGGATCTCACTTTTTTATTCTCCTTCCTTTTAATAATAAAAACTTTTAAATATAAAAAAAAATAATAATAAAGGAAGTTATAGAAATGTAAATAGACACTACCACATGAATAATGCAATGAATCGTACCATTGACATTTGACACGGATCAATTATCAATCAAATCGTTCTATTTACATTTAACTGTTGGAAAGATACGAACACCGATGTAATAGCTTACAGAGGCAAAACAGAGAATGGAGGGGGTGAGCCAACTCATGTATGTGTGCCTACAACTAGCCATGCCTATACCATTTAGATCAGACATCATGTAGAAGGTAAAGATGGGGATAGAGAAAGGACTTAAATTTAATTAAAAAGCTTTGCGATAATGATGGGAACTTTACAGGGAAATTTGAGTAAAATTTACACCACAAGGCCTCATAGACCTGGCCTTTTATGAGCATAATAAGCAACTCTGCATTTCCTTAAAATGTGTTAAACACCTGAACCTTTCCAACTTCAAGAGTACCGTGATAGTGAAATGTCAACATTATCAGCTCAGGGCTTTCTTTTTTTCAACTATTTTTCTCATCCAATATTTCTTTAGCATAAATAAATATTGGAATTTTATTTTATTTTTATAAAATCCCAATCAATTCAGTAAAATAATTTGTTAACTTCTAATTTTTTTCAACGTTCAATTAACTTATTTACTATTTTTCCGGAATTGTCTAAAAGAATAATAGCTATAGAGAAAACTTAAGAAATGAGACTTTAATCAAGAGTTGACAGGGGTTTGGATAGAGGAGGTTTTTTGAGGTCTGAAGCGGTTATGTTAGATTTTTTTTATAAAATTATTAAACAAACATTTTCTGAAAAAAAAAATTAATAAGTATTTTTTTAAAATTAAGTTTTAAGAATATGTTAAACTCAACCAATTTCTAATATCCAGTTTCATATCAGGTCGAATCACACGTTCTGTTTAGATCAGTGCCAAATACTAGCATCAATGGAATTTAAAATTATTGCTTGACGATCTTGACCTCACTTACAATCAACTGCCCTTTGTTTTGGCAGCTTGTATTTACTCCTTTGAAAGACAGATTGATCTTATGCATGAGTCTCAATAAACGAAGAGGTGCCAAGAATATGACTAAAGTTATGGTGTATCATTAGGATATGTCCCAATTGGCAAATTTCAGCAATAACGTTTCTGAAGTAACTCTTGGGCCATAAGCGGCAATAAGTTGCTAGTTATCTTAATGAATGATTCATTAACGTTGATGTTAAAACGATAAAGCGGGTAGTTTTTTTAATGTTGATAAACAATTATTGATTAAAAAATAAAAATTATTATTTAATTCAATACATTTATAAAAATTATTATATTTATTAATCTTTTAATTAATATTTTTAAATTGCTTTTTTATATATATATTGGAGGAGGTTAATAACGTTGGTGGTGGGTCAATTACTACAGTGTTTGGGTTGGGCATTCCATTGGGATCGATGCGAATTAAAAAAGACAAAAAATCATATACCCAACCAATGGCCGTTATTCTATTCTATTCAATTCAATGACAAAGAACACAAATTAATATAATTATTGTGATGGTAATTAATGAGGTGCAGAAATGAAATGACGAATTCAACCTTGGCTGGAGAAGGACCGGTCTTTGTCCTGAACATCACAATTTCCCACACCATTAATATCAATGGCCAACGAAATGGAGCCCACTACTACGAACGAACCAGATCATAGGTATCAAAGATGGCTCAGCTACTCAATGCTGAATCACAGTACATACATACAGCTCATTGAAATTCGTCAGTAAGTAATTCATGACATGCACAACCAATAAATTATGCAGGTTAAAAAAAAATAAAAGGAGAAATGTAGCGAATGAATATGGTGAACGGGGATTTTTTGTTTGTGGAAAAAGGGAAAACTGACGAAGATTAAGGCGAAAGGGATGAATCAGAGTAACCATGAATGAAGCCTGTGTGCGTGCAAAGGCAGAGATGGAGATGGGTCTCTTGCACTGTTGCATGGGTCGGTGACCGTAACGTGGGAATGAGACAGTGATGCACAATTCCAAGGAGGGCGTTGACTTGTTACTGTAGTTAGCAACCTCCACTTGCCAGTTACCTTGTTAATCCCAAGGCATCCATTTTCACTTTACCCGGATAATAATATTCCCAACTATGGGAAAACCTTGTGCCTTTCTAGGTTTTAATGTGGTTATGATATTATTAATACACACCCTTTAAGAGAGAGTTCAATTTGGAAGCAACAACCAAAGCTTTTTCAATTGGGGTGGTCTTTTTGGGGCTCTCCAAACAAAAATATAGAAAATACACCTAGGTCAAGACATAGATAAATAGATGGTAGGGAATGGAAATAGAAAGAAGAAAAAGAGGAACATGAAAAGGGTCTCTGAATCTAATCCATTTCTTCTCTTTCCATTCTAATCAATCATCTTCCGTATGCTCAAAACCTCTTCTTCTCCCCTTCAATCACAACCAACCATCACCCAAATTCATTGAGAGTGTGAGAATGGTTACAGGGTGGAGAAGAGCGTTCTGCACATCCATCCCCAAAGACAGAGAGGCCAAAGTATTAACTGAGAAACAACAGCATTGCGACACCAATAACAGTCCCAAAATCACTTCCAAGTTTGGATTTTTCTCCAACCCATCAACGCCCCGGTGCGAGTCACAGCCTGTATCCGGGTCATCCCTCCGGTGCCGAACCACTTGTTCAGTCCCAAACAGCCCAAAACTCCAATGCAATAACCCCAAAACACCAAGGTTGTTCCATAACTCCAATCCCTCTTCACCCAAGTCACCATCAAGCTTCTCGCTTCTCAAAGCCACTCTGCGCTTATCCAAAGTAAGCAACGAAACTATAAACAAACAAAATATTTCTCATTCTCTCCCTTTTACCAATGATTGAATTTTATTGTTTGCTTTTTGCGCAGAGTCGATGTGGAATCTGTATGCAGAGCGTGAAGAGTGGACAAGGAACCGCAATTTTCACAGCGGAGTGCTCTCACACCTTCCACTTCCCTTGCATAGCGACACACGCGAAGAAGCACCCAGTCCTCGTGTGCCCCGTGTGTAGCACAAGCTGGAAGGAACTTCCGGTGCTTTCCATTCACAACGACAATAACAGAGACAAGAGAAACTTCAAGGTCTACAACGACGACGAGCCTCTCATGTCTCCAACTTCCCTTTCCCGCTTCAATCCCATTCCCGAATCAGAAAACGAAGACGAAGACAACGCTGAGTTCCAAGGTTTCAACGTCAATCCTGTTAACAATTTACCATCCTCGCCGATAATCAGGCGCAACCTAGAGTTGTCTTTGTTGCCGGAGGCTGCCATTGTCGCCGCCAATAAGAATTACGAGACCTACGTCGTTGTTTTGAAGCTCAAGCCGCCGCAGTCTCTGACGTCGGCGCGTCGGGCTCCGATTGACCTCGTCGCCGTGCTCAACGTCGGCGGAGCCATGTCCGGCCACAAGCTTCGCTTGATGAAGAACTCCATGCGTCAAGTGATATCCTCCCTCGGCTCCACTGATCGTCTCTCCATCGTTGCGTTCTCCGCCGGATCCAAGAGACTGCTTCCGCTACGCCGGATGACCGGCGGCGGTCAGCGATCGGCGCGTCGGATCGTCGACGCGCTGGCCCCGATTGACCAATCCCGAGAAGGCGCTCCGGTCAGGAACGACGCTCTGAAAAAGGCCGCAAAGGTGCTCGAGGATCGCCGCGTGAAGAACGCCGTCGCCAGCATTATAATTCTATCCGATATTCACGACTCACGCGCCGCCGCTTGCGTTCAGAAAGCCTCCCTGGTGTCCACCACGCGCCTCGCGCACCTCGAAGTCCCTGTCCACGCGGTGCGTTTTCCTAGCGAACACGCACTCCCGGACGACGACGCGCTTGCCAAATGCGTGGGTGGTTTGTTAAGTGTCGTTGCTCAAGACGTTAGGATTCAGTTAGGGGTTGTGTCACGGTCGCGCCCCGTGGATATCGCTGCTGTTTACTCGTTAGCGGGTCGACCCGCTGCGCTGGGATCGGGTTCGATCCGACTCGGCGATCTTTACGCCGAGGAAGAACGGGAATTGCTCGTGGAGCTGAAAGTGCCCGCCGCATCCGCTGGGTCCCACCACGTTCTAACAGTACGTTCATCCTATCGGGACCCCCTTACTCGAGAGGTTTTGAATCCCGTTGAGCAGGCAATGCTCGTTCCTCGTCCCCACACCGTACGATCCTCGTGTCCCAAAATTGAACGCTTGAGAAACCTCCACGTCACCGCTCGAGCCGTAGCTGAGTCAAGCCGGCTAGTTGAACACAACGATCTCTCTGGAGCTCATCACTTGCTCTCGTCGGCTCGAGCCCTTCTCTTGCAGTCGGGCACGCCGGCTGAGGATTATTTGCGCTGGCTTGAAGCTGAGCTGGCTGAGCTTCAGCGGCGAAGGCAGCAACGGATGCAGGGTCAACAAAGGCAGAGAAACAGCCGCGCCGAGGAGAAGTTGGAGCCTCTCACGCCTACTTCGGCTTGGCGAGCCGCTGAGAGGTTGGCTAAGGTTGCTATAATGAGGAAGTCTATGAACAGAGTTAGCGATTTGCATGGGTTTGAGAATGCCAGATTTTAGTTGTAATTTAATCTTCATTTTTAAAAAATATAATATTGTGTATAGAGGAACAAAATTATTAATAGAGAATTGTTTTTTAGAAATTTAAAAGAGAAAATGGAATTGGAGATGACCCAAGCAATGATATTAGCGACATGCTAATACCAGAAGCCTAGACCCTTTTCTGTGTAAGAAAGGAACGGATAGTGATAGCAAAGAACCCACATGAGTTGATTGGGCAGTGAGGCCCTGTTTCTTCTGTTTTGTCCTTTTACTCCTTCCCCTTATAATTTTCGAAAACCCCAAAATTCATGTATGCAAATGATCACATCCATCCAAAGGTATGCAGAGAATAAAAAATTAAAATCGAAGTTAAAAATAGCTGCTTATTTGTGTTCAAAGACCAATTAATGCTAGTTGCTGTTGGTGGGTCTAATCAATGGAATGTGAAAAGAAAAATTAGTAATACGAGCTTTGTTTGTTTGCTTGCATGAGCTGTTAGGTCTCTTACATAAGGTTAAAGAAGCAGAAGGTCGGGGCCTGTTACTTTGTGCATATCAAGACAAAGGATAATGCCATGCAAGTGCTTCAGTATTACTTGGCATTATTCGGGCATTAATGGTTGATCATGCTTTTAAGAATTTTAGGATGGGGGGGAATTTTTTTTCCTAATCATATCCAAAGCCACATGTGAGATTTTGTTCGGTAATCTGACTGTATCTGCGTTCTATTTTTAGGACAAAGTTATATGTATACTATTAGTCTGTAACTTTTTAAGTTAAACAAAAGAAAGTGATAAGAAAAAAATGTTTGAATAATATAATTTTATCTGAAGTATTAAACCCAGGAGAATGAAAACCTTTTCTGGATTTTCCATATGGCTAACTCTTCATAGCTAGTCGGGGGTTTGCTTCCGAGTTGCCAAACGAGTACTTCCAAACTGGAAAGTAATGTTTTGCAAGTTGCAAGTAGAATTATGACGGGGCCATTCCAAACAGGCAATTCCAAAGTGCAAAGTTATGGTGCTAAGTTAGGATTATGACATGGGAGAGAGTACCTCACTTGTGGTCAATTAAAAGAGAGTTTATTTTTACTCCTTACAAACTAAAATATACGGCAACATATAGAGGGGTGCATTGGGTGCATTCTCACTCTCCCCCTCTCATTCTTTCTTTTATCCTTAAGGGAGTACTCGTTTCATGACATCTAAAAATGCTCCAAGCAGGTTCACTCTGGTGGAGGGGAAAAAAAATTTCTATAAAAATTAAAATTATCCACTCTCCTTATTTAATTTTTTTTATATTTTTATTGATTCACATTATTAGAGTAAACTTTTTTTTTCTTTAATTTAACAATTCTGCTATTTAAATAACTAAAATGTAATATTTGTATAATTATGCATATGTCTTATTATATATATATATAAATAAATATATATATATGTATATATATCTAAAAAACATTTTTATTAATTTAAAATGAGAAAATTCGTAGTTTGCTTACACGTACCACGACTTTACAGTGAAAATGCTTTCCTGGTTATCAAGTTTGGCTTATGCTGGGTTGGGGCTATAAGCCTATAACCACGTGTAAGTGCTTTATCTTTTTGAAGAAAAGGAGCAAAATATAGAAAGTGGAAACAAACAAATCATAAGATGGTGCGTCAAATCATCAACGCTACTCTGTCAGCACCGAATTTAAGTTGCTGAGTTGATGTGCGATGTTTGGAATCCAGATCTGAGACTCGTGAGCCTCCTTTCTAACAAGCACAACGGAATAAGAATAATAAACAAAAAAACATATATGTTAATTCAGTAAAATATGGACTTCATTTATTTTAATCAAATATTTTACATTTTATTTATTTATATTTAATTATTTATATTTATTTTATAAATTTTTTAATTATTAAAATTAATTTTTCTGTAGCAAATTGTGTCTAATATTTAATAAAAATAAAATAAGTGTAATATAATATTCATCTATATCATTAAAACATGTGAAATATTTAAATAAAATAAAACGGCTTTAGAGTGTTAACTTTGAGGTTCATTTTTTAATTTAAACAATTTTCTATCAATTGTACAAGTTAATGTTGTATCACTGTCATAAATTCGTTACATTCTCGTTATTTATGAAACAAAATTTAATTTTAACAATTAAAAATTATAAAATTAAATATCCAAAAATAAAATTATAAAGGCTAAAGTTACTTTTAATAATTAATTATTTATAAGATATTTATAAGAAATATTTGAGACTACTTTTGGTCTTATTTATAAGAAATAACTGTTAAATTTTTTTTGTCTTAATTATAAAAATAAAAAATTATTTTCAAATGTATTAATTATTAATTTTTTATATCTTTAATTTATTGTAAAGTTATGTTAACTAAACACTCATTTATTTTTCATGCAAGCTATTAATAATTATTTTATATGATGAATTTTTTAAATATTATTAATTTTATGGCATGTAATTATTTTTATTCATTTTGATGAGATGCGAGATAAGATTTATTTAAAGGGAAGAATACAAAGAAAAATATCGTTACAACGGGAAAGAAGTCTACTCCAATTAAGTGTAATTGACTATAACTACACTCACGAATCCATAAAGAGGGTAAGCCGTACCATACCTTTTCTTTAAATGTATTTTATGAAGTAAAAATATAGAAGATAATGGAAATAAAATTATATTGTGTAAATTCAATCAATTTTATTTTTGAGTAAATTACAAGTTATTCCATAAATAATATTGTTTCATATAAACATTTTTAACGAATATTATAGATAAACATACAACACATTTCATTTTAAAATTTATCAAAGAATGAAATTGTCTTTACTTTTAAATCTTTACATTCTATTCATAGAGATAAAAAAAATTCCACCTATCAACCATAGCTTGAATAGGGGTGGCTGCATAGACTCAATAATTGGACCCACACGTAATCTTAATATGAAAACGATCATTACCCCTTAAGCATTTATTTGTGCATGCTTTAACCTCAGTATCCGCGTTGAGTAAGGTAAAAAAATTTGCATCTCAACACATCAACATCCTTATCTTAAACGAATATCTTATGCTAACTATTTTTTTGAGTTTAACAGATAAATATTATCCTATATAGTTTCATATTTTAACATCTGAATCAAATAAATATTTGTTTCATAGCTTTTTTTCCTATTTGTGAAATGACACTCCATTATTCTGTGCAACAAAAGGTGGACTGTGTTACGACTTGTCACAAATTTGTGAAAAATAAAAGAACAGTTTGAGGGAAGATATATGAAGCCTAAATATGCGTGAAATGGAGAAAAGGGAATGTGAGAACTGAGCATGAGCTATGAACTATGAACTACGAACTTTAAGCTTCGGAGAGGTCCCCTTCAATGCACTAAATTTTAATCTTTAGGCTGAAGCAGAGGGCATTTCTTTCACTTTTGGGGGATACTAAGGAATTCCTTAATTTGCGCGCACTTTTAGAACCCTTTTTAAGTGCTCCTCATGAGTGCTTCCTTTAGTTATTACTTTTCTTTTTTGTTATTATAATTTAAGAAAAAAGGAGTTCCATTTTATGACAAAAAGTTACCCGATTTTAAAAATATTACAGAAGAATTGTATTCATTTAACGATAACTTATATTTGTGACATGTAAGATAGAAGATTCTACCTGTGCTCGACTAATCCTTCACCATACTTTAGTTATTATTTTTGACTGTGCATACCAAACTTTCTAGTATTTAAATCCTAAATATCTTCTACATTTACACGTACATGTTTCACCACGAGGATAGTCCATACAAATAACAAATGTCGGCATAGGCTATTAGATTAGTATTTTTTTTATCTTTATATTTTTGTAATATTTTAAAAATATATATTTTAGTGCTCTTTTTTTTTTAATTTTTAGTAATAATGTATCTAATTAATATATATGGGCTAATTTTTTGTTATGTCACAGGAGGGATTAAAAATAAAAAAATTCAAAACATATTTAAGGCTAAATTCTTTCTTGGTGAACAAATAATCAAACTTGCATGATTTTACTGTTTGAAGACAATCCCTGCTCACCTTGGGTGATCCAAAACAAGAAGTTGACTTAAATTTTTTTATCTACGAAATGCTTGTCAAAATTTTCAGCAGAAACTTTACGTGTGTGCACTAATGTAATACTTCCGTGATTTAGCTTCTGCTTTTTAAAAAGAAAGTATTGTCATTTGATAATTTTATCAATGATCTTTAACTTTAAAAAGAACAAAATATATGAAATTTTATTTAATTTTTGAGTTTTTTTTAATCTTGCCATCAAATATTTCTAAGAATATAGTTTTAAAATTATCAAAATAATTTCAAGACTATTATTTCTAAAAATATGCCCCGAAACTGAAAAAGATGAAACCTTGAAAAAAAACATTTCTTTCACGTCCATTTTTTACAACGTTTACACCCATCCTTTTACAATATTTTTCTCCCTTTTCTTTATCATAAAAAATAGAATGTGGATATAGTATGTGAAATAAAAAAGCCAAAATGGCTAAGAATGAAAGAGAGCTGCCGAAAAATGACAAATAAACTGAATATCAATATCGACAGTGATTTTCGGCAAACATCATTTTTCTTTTTGTCAACATTATTTAACTTTTCAAACACTAACAAGGTTTTTTGTTAAACTCTGAGTTGAAATTATTTCGTATGAATCATCAATTCTGAAAAAATTGTCAAAATCGAACATCATTTATTGATTCTGTCAGGCCCAGGTCAATATACTTATCAAAACTCTCAATTGCTTAGGACCCAACTATAAAACATTAAAACATAGACGATCAATTGCTTTTTGTGTATCGTAGGTTTCACAAAGACTACATACAGAAAGCCTGGCCCGTAGTCAAAAGTGCTGAGTTCACAGTCTGTGATGGGCTGCAAAGTAGTCTCACTTGGCCCACCTTAACGATGATTTACCAATTTGAGAGTTCTCAAAACCATTTTTATTTCAATAATGGCGGTTTAATTCCTAAAAACACTACATGATATTTAATTAAAATGTTTTAATTATAGATTTATTGTAAAGACCACCCATC